AGTGTACGTCGTGATTTTATCTTCCTCCCCTCCCCCCCCCCCCCCCCCCCCAAGTTCAATATAGCGTTCATGGATTTCCACACTATTCCACATTCGTGATTTGTTTCATCGAATGTCGTCAACCAGCATACCGAAGACATGCTTTGTAGGTGAGCTAGTTCATTGCGTTGGATAGTTTGTGTAGAACCAGGAGTGGCAGTCTCTCTGATACCTAGCGTCTGCTAAATCACTGACTGTTGATGACACACGGAAGCTGACATCCATTCCCCATTTGTCCCCACGTTCCTTGGCACGCTTTTGTGTAGTTCTTCTTTGGTGATCTTCCTCCCTTTCACCTCTCTAGTTCGACATAATAAGTACAGTAGGCTTTTTCCAACGATCTGGCTGTTTTCGGGGGTATCAGTGAGCATGCTTCTCCACACCAAAAAAAAAATGTTCGTGAAAATGAAACGAACTAGTACTGCCCCTATGACGTTTGAGTTCTTCTTCAGAAAGTTCCTCAGTCTTTTGCTTTAGTAAAAATCGCTTAATATGGTCTCTGGAACAATGTGTGCTCACACAGTTCTTGTGACGCAGTATAAACTCAGCATCATCTGAAAGTCTCTGACTGAGTCCATCATCTCGTTGCTGGCTTGCTTCCAGTAGACCACTAATACGTCTCGATTTGATCAGCGGTGGGTTTTTTATCGCTTCCGTATGTGTTTAAAAGTAATTGAGAGAGACACTGTGTGTATGCATGTGCATGTTGCATGAACCAGCCTGATCGCATCACGTCCTCGTGGTGACGTAGCGGTTTCCTACATTCTTTGTTTCTACGGAGGTGTGGTGTGACGAAGCACGGTCCGCCAATGTCTTCTTGCTTTGCTAGTTGAGTCCATAATATTACAGCAGGCCGTGCGGTGCACCTTTCGGTGCATCATGTGACATCACGGCGAGAGGAGCTGTTAGCGTTAGGCCTAGATCTAAATCTAGTACCCTCGCGCGAATCTTGGACGACTCGTACATGGTATAGAGGTGGGTAAAATCCGGATAAACTATCCGGATAACCGGATAATTCTCAATGAAATATTATCTGAATTCAGACTCTAAACTCTCTTTCCTGACTCGTTTGCCGCAGTGAGTGTATCCATTTGTTGATGAAGTAATGCTAACCTGTCTATCTAAGAGATTTTGCCGCGGCGGTTCATAACATATTATTTGCCGAAGAGGTGTACTAACATATTATCCGTATTTTGGTAAAGCGACTCATTGCCCAGCCCTAGTCGCTCCTTCATCATTCTTGCATGATACGGGTTGGAGCTCTGTCTGTTTTGGGGTACCTTGGTCAGTGTTACCCTCAAATGATTCCAGGACTTCATGTCCAACTCTACTGTGCGTCTCCAGGTCACTCTGGGTCTGCCCCTTTTGCGACGTCCTTCGGGTGTCCAGTGGAGTGCAGTCTACACAATAAAGTCTGGTTCTCTTCTCAGAACATACCCAATCCATCTCCTTCTTCTCCTTTTTATTATGGTGGTCATGTCCTCTTGCCTACATTTTTGTAATAGATCGGCGTTGAAAATCTTGTCGGGCCAGAAGATTCTGAGTATTTGGCGTAAGCTGGTTGTATGAAAGGAAGATAGCTTGGCACGGTCATGATCAGTCATCCTCCAGCATTCAGCTCCATATAGGAGTGTGGATAGTACACAACTGTTATACAGCTTTAACTTGGTTTGTATACTAAACTGTCCTGACTTCCAGATGTTGATCATGCTTCTGTGTATAGATCTTACCTTGCCGAGTCTATTCATGATGTCTTCCTTTGTGCCGCCGTCAGTTGTGATTATGCTGCCTAGGTAGGTAAATGTGTTTGTTATAGGCAGGTCCGTGTTGTTCACCCTGGCGTTGGGGAGCCCACATTTAGTGTCATCACTTCTGCCTTCTTCTAGCTTATCCTTAATCCAATCGGGCGTCTATATTTGTGGAGTCGGTTTGTTTTTTGCTGCATGTGCTGGTTGGTATGGGAGAGTAGTGGAAGGTCGTCGGCAAAGTCAAGATCCTCGAGGGAGGAGAAGAGAGTCCACCTTATGCCTCTTTCATTGTTTGTTTGGGGGGGTTTTTGCTTCTTTTTTTTTGGTCACCCTGTAGTTCCGCCATGTCGAAAGTTTCAATGTGTACGAGATGTATCCCTGAGCTCACGGTGTGTGTTTTCCCAGGAGAAGATTCTGGCTTCAAGTACTACGGCACTGTCGGGGGAGTGTGTGCGGCCGTGGTTGCCGTGATGGCTACTGCCATTGGTGTCTACTTTGTCAGACAGTACAGAATGAGGCAACAGAAGCAGAGTCAGGCCAACGCTGAAACCATCGTTCCTCTTGGTGCTAGAAGCTAGTAAGTATGATATGAATGTATGTATAGCTTTCAGGAGTGTGTACGCAGGGTGTAGGGATGTGTGTGTGTGTGTGTGTGTGTGTGTGTGTGTGTGTGTGTGTGTGTGTGTGTGTGTGTGTGTGTGTGTGTGTGTGTGTGTGTGCGCAGGGTGTAGGGATGTGTTTGTTTATGAAGGGGGTCTGGTTTGTGTGTATGTGTGTGTGTGTGTGTGTGTGTGTGTGTGTGTGTGTGTGTGTGTGTGTGTGTGTGTGTGTGTGTGTGTGTTTGTAAGAGAGATAAGGAGAGGGGGGTGAGTCGGAGAGAGATTACTGTTCTACGTTCTAAGGGTATAAATTGATGCACAAGCAACATTCCGTTCGGATTTTTTTATTCGTCAGAGCTTGCACAAACACGCTCGTCCCCGGAGCAGAGAGGAAGTCAGATAGAGATAGAGTTGGAAACTACTCAGACACTGGTCGTGTGCGGCTAACTACAGATAAGACAGATCGGATAATAGGTGAAAATTGTGGCCGTTTGGTTGGCATGTAGTTCTCAGACGTAAAACCGAGAAAAGGAGAGAGGTGAGATCGAATAAGTCTGAAAGAAAAACAAATCGAGGGGCACTTTTGCGTTTACGCGCTTCACTTTAGCAGAATTTCCGTATTGGGAGAATTTCTATCGAGTAACGAGGTCTTTCTACAAAGAACGTGTCTTCCTCTCTCTCCACCTGGGTTGGCCCTGACAGGTGAGGTCGAAGCCTTATCATCATCCGGTGCCTTGCCGACTGGCGTGGGCGATCATAGACCTCCACTTACATCTGTCTTGCGTTGCAGCAATGGTGTCTGTTGTTCTTGCTGCTCCCATTCATGTTGTCATCTTGTCCAGTATCTTTTACCTCTGTCTGCTGCTGCCTCTCTTTCCATCAAACTTGCCTGTTGTTACAATATCCTTCATTCTTCTTTCCGCATTCTGTGCCCAAATAAAATTTGCCAGTCGCTGTCGTATATTCGTCATAAGCTCTTGTCTGCAATTTGCTTCAACCAAGACTTTTTCATATGTTTTCTAGCTGTCCATGGGATACGCAACATGCGTCTTATGAACCACAACTCTGTCGCCTCAATTGTTTTTTCCAGCCGTCTAATGATTGTCCGTGCTTCGCACCCGTACAATAGGATTGGCTGGAAGTAACTTTTCAGTACTCTTTTTCGTGTTTCCAGTGACAGATTTATGTTTTGTGAGTATCTGTTTCATTTTGTAGGTCGAAGCCTACATCCTAAATAATCTAAATCGTGTCGGTGGGGGAGCATAAACGCTTAAATTGAGTCAAATGATGCGCTCTATAATGAAACAGGCGTAGCACTTGTTACTTGGATTTACTTGGATCCACAGCTAGAATCATAGCAGGCGGCACATGTCCATAGCTGCTCATCTCTCCTTTCCAGCGTCCACCTCAGAGTCTTCCTGCTAATTGTCTCCATGAGGAGCTGGTTTGAGACACGCCTGACCACTCCTCGGAGCAAACTTATTTTCGCACTTGTGTACATGCGCACTTGTGTATTGGTATGAAAACAGTGAGAGGGTGCTCGGTTCATTGTTTGCGAATTAGAGCCACACAATGGAATTTTCAACGATTATAGCAGCAATGAGAACAACAGCAACACCAGAACCAATCATCAAAGACCAACTGTCGTGACAACAATAACGATAACACTTTTACATAAAGCTTTCACGACGGCAACAAATTAATAAGGACGACACCACGTCACCGACACACTCAAACAACATATTATAGCACCACCATTCGTAGCAGCAGGAACAATAACAACAACAACAACAACAACAACAACAACAACAACAACAACAACAACAACACTTTCAAACAACAGCATCAGTAACAGCGCCAGCTATCACAACAAAAATAGCAACAACAACAGCAATAACAACAGCAACAACAACAACAACAACACAATCAATAATTCGACAATTAAGTATGAACCCTACGCAAGACTCCTGGGAGTCACACTCGACCACAGGCTCACGTTCAGGAAACAGGTTGAGACAGTAATAGCTAAGCCACACAGAAGAAGAGGATCCTCAGCGCTGTCGCCCACTCAAAATGGGGATGGAGGAAAGACGCCCTACGCAAGGTCTACCTCGCCCATATATAAAGTGTCCTCAACTTTACGAGCAGCAGCTGGCAACTGTGGCTGAGCAAAACTGATAAATAATTTGGAGGTGGTTCATAACAGATGTCTGCGACTGATCACCACCCAAGCCTAGTCCTCACCGATCGAGGCACTTCGTGCTGAAAACGGGTGTCCCAAGCATTGAGTCCACCATCAATGCTAACTGCCTCCGATCTAGAGAGAAGTCCCTGCGAATGAACAAAGAGAACCCCCGACGAATTGAGGCAACGGAACAAGTGCTCAGACGCCTAAAGAGACGCAGAAATTTCCCAAAAAGGGGCCCAAGACGCCAGTAAAAAGAACCCACATCTGTTCAACTGCGAGAGGAGGCCCATTACTTACTTCAAAACAAGGCCGCGGGAACGGGGAATCAACCCCGACATCACTTTCCCCCAACTGTGCGGCATAAGCGGAAGGAGTGACTCCAGTGGGAAGATTCAAAGCGCTGCTCTTTGTCGGGCACGAGAGCTTGGCGCACAATACAATATCTACACTGACGGCTCGGCTAGTACAGGAACAACAGATGGCAGCGCTGGGGTCGTCATCACCACGGGGGACCGTCCAACCCGACCGTTGTCGAGACGTTGAGGGAGAAAGGCGCTCTATTCACGTGCTCTTTCGAAGAAGAGAGGAGAGCATTGGAAATGGCCGTTGACTGGATTGACAAAGAGTGCGATGCATCCAAGACGGTCGCTATCTTCACTGACAGTCAATTGCTATGCATGACACTAGTAAGAACATCACCATCCTTCGATCAAATGCGAATACGCATAAATAATACAACACCTCAACCCACGATTCAGTGGATCCCTGGTCACTGCGAGACCACCAGCAACGATCTCGCTGACAGTAATGCCAAACTGGCAACAGCGCTACCGGGCCCAGGTCGCCAAATTGCATTTGAAAGTGCATGCGCAAAAGACCCTCCGATATCCCACACGCGGACAAAGGAAATAATACAGGGCAGTTTCCTCAAAACGAGAGGCTCAAATTAAGTCCTGCAGAGACCAGTCACTAGTGACAAAAATCAGGACCGGTCATTTCTCTAGGCTGCGAGCCTACAAAAATAGAATAGACAAAACATCGGACCCAATCTGTCTATTGTGTAGGCAGGAGCCCCAAGATTTCGAGCACTGGCAGCAGAGATACCCCGCCACGGAGGTCCTGCAGTGGCATCTCCTTGGGGAGGATTCAGGGAGGTTGGACTGCCTCACCCGCTACCCAAGAGAGGCGGTGGCCCTGGCGAAAAGCACACTCTTTGGGTCTCCAAACAATCCGGAAGGATGGGCTCACACACACACAACAACAACAACAACAACAACAACAACAACAACAACAACACATATAATACCAATAACAACGCCATCAATCATAAAATCAGCAACATCAACAACAACAGAAACAAAAACAGCAACAACAACGACAACAACAACAACAGCACCACCTAACACATCACCAATAATGTCACTGTTTCATATTATCTTCCCGCAGTATAAATGGCTCCTTCTCTGAACCACCATCGTTCGCATTGTCTGTGACATCACCAGCGTCTGTCATCCCTCAGCCAGGAACAAGGACCGGCCACTTGTAAAGGCAAGACACAGCGGACAAACAAAGTGGTGTTCAATTTGACCCTCAAAAGTGAGATACCCGTTCGACTGAGTTTGTACATGGCCAGGTTTGAGAAGAAAACCAGACAGGTAAATATTATGCACGTATCAAACAGAATCCTACAGAAGTGATCTTAGTTTTAGTAGTTTTAGAAAAATCCTACAGAAGTGATCTGCATAAGGCCACATGAGCGACAAGGGTTGGATGTCAACAGAGAAGTCCAAATGGGGTATGAGGTTTACTCTGATCACCTCTCTGGCCTCAACAGCACAACGTCTTTTTCAGCTTATCAAGTACCCCGGAAATAGCAGTTCACCTCATGAGTGGACCCTCATGTAGTAGAACAAAATTACTAAGCACGCCACGATCTGACTATTGTCATGGGACAAGACCTGGCCATCTTGGAATTACAAAGTAGTATCTGACATTTTTGGCCGTTTTGATTTACTAGTAATACCATGAGGTCAGAAACAAAATGTTCTAGCTACTCTATCAAAATCGCAATATTATTCCATGTGGTTATCAAGATATTCCAAGAATTGTATTTTAAAAAGCTTGGCATGTTGTGAAACTCAAAACGTGTAAGTTCAAATGTTCGTAAATTAGATTTTGAATACCCTTTCTAAAAATAGATTAACTCTATCCTTCGAGCACAACGTCATGGCGACCCTATGGAGACGGGAAACCTCGGTGCTTTCTAGTGCGGTCAAACATTCGTGGCGCAACTTATCGTCAAATATCTCCTCAACTATTGAACTTTAACTCTCCAGCCTTTGGACTGTGACTTTTATCAATTTGTCTAAACAGATCAATTTTTTTGTAAACACCTGTTAACTCTTTTTTTAAAATAGAAAATTCCTTTATAAATACAAATAAAAAATCCCAGTTGGTGGTTTCTAGTGATTTTAAAAGGTTTACAGCTGGTACAATACCGCTTTTAAAAGCGAGCCCGTCAGTTTTTTTCTTTCTAATCGCGAGATTGTCTTTATTGAACGCGTGTTTTGAGAACTTTCAGGGCAAAAAAGTTTTCCCTATGAAATTAATTTCTTGTAACTAGTTTTGCCACTAAAAAGTGTCCTTGGTGAGCTGTGATGTAAGTCATGCGTACGCAAAATGTGTGTGAGAAGTGGGAAGTGCTGTGAGCAACTTCATTTTCCGCGTGAAGGAGATTTTGTAGTATTTAATATTAATTAATGAAGAAAAGCTTTTTAACTTAACCTCAATTGTTGTGGGAAAACATGATTGAGTTAAAACAAATTGATACAAATTGCTGTGCAAAGTATGGATGACATTGATTCACCCATTGAAGAGATATTTGAAGATAAGTTGCGCCACGAATTTTTGACCGCCCTATAGTTTAATTAGGTTCTGAATGGAGAGTTAAAGTTTGCTTTTACCTAAATTTTTCTGCTTTTTTGTACATAGTTAAAGAGAAAAAAGTTGCTGTTGTTGAAGCTACTTTTACTTTAACCATCATGGCAGTCTCTCAGATCGGAAGCGAACTGCACAGTTTGTGCGCGACATCGGACTGACTGTTAAAATAATTTGCCCTGGCATTATATACATATTGTTGTAGTGATTGGTTGATTGATTGATTGATTGATCGGTTGATTTGATTGATTGATTGGTCGGTTGATTGATTAATTGATTGGTTAACTGATTGATTGATTGATAGGTTGATTTATTTATTTATTGATAGGTTGATTTATTTATTTATATATTTATATATTCTTATTAATTAATTAATTTATTTATTACATGTATATTCTTTATGTACAATCCATGCTGATTGCAACTACAGGTTATTATTAATTTACAATTGATTGCAACTGCATGTTATTATTAATTTACAATTGATTGCAACTACATGTTATTATTAATTTACATTTTTCGATGACTCAGGTACAGGCTGTGTTATTGTTATGACTGAGAGTGAAAATTTTCAAACTTTGGTGCAAATTTCATGGAAAAAGCTCTTTAAACTAAAACAACAGTGTGTGTTTCTAGTCCTGAGTAGGATGAAAGACAGAAAGAAAGAAAGACAGAAAGAAAGAAAGACAGAAAGAAAGAAAGAAAGAAAGAAAGAAAGAAAAAAGAAAGAAAGACAGACAGAAAGAAAGAAAGAAAGAAAGAAAGAAAGAAAGAAAAAAAGACAGACAGACAAAAAGACAGAAAGAAAGAAAGACAGACAGACAGACGAAAAGACAGAAAGAAAGAAAGACAGACAGACAGACAGACAGAAAGAAAGAAAGACAGAAAGAAAGAAAGAAAGAAAGACAGAAAGAAAGAAATCCTTTTTTTCCCGTGAGGAAACGTTTGACATACAGCCTGTACATTCTTTTGGTAAACGTGCTTCGCAAGACCATGTGCCTGTCTTTTTGCCAATGTCTGGGTTTGTTCATCACTAATAATTTTCATATTAAACATTGTACATACATTACACAATATGAGGTTAATTACGTAAAAAAAATATTGCTTTCTGAGAAAATAAATCTACATAAACCAGCACATTTGCTTCAATCAACATTACAATGCAATACTATTTTTACTTTCTTTTTTTCTGAAAGTCGTTTGCACATGATTTACATTAATAGTTTTCATACATTTAGCCGACAGAGAGCCGACGTCAACATTTCTGGAAGACATCGACGGACCACACATTGTAACAGAAGAGGTACAAGACGCCATGAGTAAAATGAAATACAGTGCAGCCTCTCTATAACGACCTTCGATATATCGACATCTTCTGTATAGCGACATGGTGCCCAAGGTTCCGATGTTTTCCTTATATATCATTAGTAATATTCTTTGTTGGCTCTCTATAACGACAACTTTCTATAACGTCACTTTAATCTTGTCCCGAGGATGTCATTATAGAGAGGCTGCACTGGATGGCAAAGCGCCAGGACCAGAAGACATAATATTGTGAGCCAGCGTGGTGGAATCAGGCTCTCGTCAATTTTTGGGCATGTAGAGTTATTGGTATCATCTTAAAGCTTGTTCATTAGTCTTGCTTTGGGTGAAAAAAATACCCATTTATCTTGAATACAAGTCGAGATAGTAGCGAAAGAAAGAGTTGGGGGTCACTTTTTTTCAGAGGTAAAATTAGTGAGAAAATGGCTGCCAAAGATTAGTTATTTCTTTAGCTTAAGACTCCGTAGTAACGGAAAATTTACATTTTTTGTCCCTTTAATCAATGTTTTTTTTTTTAGAAAAATCCAAAAGAAACAAGTTCTTTAAAGGACATGAAAGGTGTTGAAGCAAAAAAACAAAAATATGATAAAAATTCACAAACCTGCGGAAAAATGCAAGTTTCTTCTCTTGCATTATTTTGACTTTACTTTTACTTTACTTTTCCGATCCAGCGGCCATTTTGGTTCTAGCCCTTCGGTCTGTCGATATGGCAAAGAATTAACAGGTTTTAAT